GAGAAATCAGAATGTGAAGCCTAAAGGGTGAAGAGACAATTTAGCTTTCTGTTAGCACAGAGTTTAATGGATAGCATTGGTGTTGGTATGTGGGTGCACAAATACACTTGGCATAAATCATTTGCCCATTTTTTGGGATGACAAATGATTGAAAGCAAATGCTGAACTTCAAATATAAAGGCTTTACTGCCATCCACATCTAGATGTCCTCTTTGTTGGAGTCGGCCTTGCATTTTTTCAGCTTGACAGTTCTAAAGCTCAGTTTGTACATATGTTGACAGAATGTCAGTAAAGTGCTGAACCAGACCAGCAGATTCTCCTTAAAATTGCTTTTCCAAAACAAAATTATTTTAGCGAAGTTTTGAAAACACCAGGACGAGAAGTGCTTTCTTATTTTCTCAGCAAATGCATATTGGTTTTTGAAATCAGGATCAGAATTAATTTTAGAAATCAATGAAAATAATGCAACATTCTGTTAGTGGACTGTGCGTACCTCTCTGATTCCTTCACTCCTTACTTTTTCTTTCGATGGTTTCTCCTCACGTCGTCTTTGAGGATATCCACTCGACTGTTCCTCTCACAGTTGCAGCGGCACTGCAAGATGCCCACATGCTATGGCAGTATTAGGGTTAGACGGGAGGTTAGGCTTTAATTGGCAGCGCCTGTGGCTGGCAATCTGCACCAGACGCTCTCCCTGTCATGTAATTGGCACTACAAGGTTCCAGCAGCGGGCTGCGGTACGGCACCGCTGCTGACGGACGGGACTGGTGTCAGAACAGCCTATTTTTGACATAAGAGCTTGTACAGTCAATTCAGTGCTCCAACTTCAGCTTTTATGCATATCTTCACTCTCATTTGTTTTTGAAAGCAGAGTGTTTTTTTCAAATTTGTAAGAAGACATATCTCATTTGACTTGTATACAACAAATAGCAAATGCTTTACTTGTATTATAATAGCCAAATCAGACATATGTTAATAATAGTCTCTTTATTATGTATATTAATACGTATCTCTTTTAAACCATAGGAGTCTCCACCTCTTGGCTTTTCATTTTACATTGATTTTTTATTTTTGTATTATAATTATGGGCTTGACACAGCCTTGCTGGCAGATAATTGATCAGATATTGGAAGTGAAAAGATTAAGAAAGCAAGTATCTGTTGTTAATTCTGGATTAACAGTCTTGGTGAGTTTGGTTCAGTCCAAGAAATCTGTTTTTCTTTTGAGCATGTTCCTCTCTGATTCTCTATGTTCAACTTTGTTTTTTCAGCTTTTTGCTCTGACAAGTTTGATATTAATGAGGTTCTATGAAAGTGAACAGCCGGCTCAGCTAATGGTGCTTGAGGGAGTCATTTTGATTGAACGTTTGAAAGTACTTAAAATATAGAGGGAACAAATCAGAGGGGAGTCAAGACGTCCGAGAACAGCAGAAAATCTGGATAAGATATAGAGGTAGAGGAGAATGTAGAGACAGGGGAATAAATGGAGACACATGAATATTGCAGACAATGTAGAAATGGAGATTGATTCACAAATCTGTTTCCAAAACTAATCGAAAGCAAATTAAGAGACCATCCACATCAAAAGAGAATCCAGAGCAACAAATAAAGAATAAACCTGAAAAGTAGTCCAAGCTTCATACGCTCTATACAGCAACACTTAATCAGTAAAGAATAATGATTTACTTATCTATTGATAAACTAGCTAAAGAGTAAGATGTGATTAAAATAATTGAGGGGGATGGTTCTTTTGATGTCCACATCCATGCTGGATTTCTTTCCCATGCAGAGATGGTACCCTCACAGTTTAGCAGGCTCAATAAATCACAGGGTACTTGGATATCTGCCCACAGATTCCTGTTCATCCTCTTACAACAAGGTTTCCATCACTTAGACATTTATGAACTTGCAAAAGAAAAAGGTAAAACACTGAGATATGTTTATTTACAGAGGTTGCTGATAAGAGTTGACTATGTTTCAGGGGTCACTATAGATAATCGGAGATTTCCCCAGAATCAGGGTTTGACAGGTTGAACGTGAGTTTGGACTGTGGCCCTGTCCCAGTTTATCAGGCTTGTAAAGACCACCTGTTGCTTGGGGGAATGAATATGCATGAACACCCAGCGTGGGGACACATAATGCTTGGTATGTCCAGGTATAATCATGCAAGCCTTCAGCTATTTATGCATATGCTCTGATGTTCTTAAACCTGCTCACTGATTCATGCAGGAACCTGCAAGCTGCAGGCATATGCACATAGATTAGCCATTCACATGCCACTCAGGTTGTCCGCGAGGTCCAATGTCAGCAACAATTCACGAGGCTGTCTACTTTCAATCCTGCATGTCTTTCCCTATTGTCCTCCCTTCAACGCCTCTCTCACCTTTTCTCCCCCCATAGGTTGTTCCACCTCTTGTCTCTCCCCACCGACTCTCAGTCTCTCATTAACTTGAGCTCCAGAGGGACATCTGTTGTCCAAAGGCAATATGGCTCTTTCCCCTCCTGGGTCATTCATGGTGTCCTCTGCCGTCAAGTAAAGGAATTTTCCGCTACTGGTTTGTTTTCTAACTGAATATATGCTAGGATTCTCCATACTTGTTTTCATAGCCATCCCTCTGCACAGGCTGGTGATGTTAACGGGTCCCAGAAAAGACGAGCCATTTAGCACCAAATCAGACAAGAAACAGAGATTTTTCTGCTCAATGTTTTGCTTATTTAATTATGATCTAACTTAATTACGTGCTTGGCTCAGGTCTTCGTTAGCTATTTCAGTTATTTTGTGGCCATCTGGTCAATGCACAGACATAGCCTTTTTCTTCTCTAAGGTTTTGAACTACCCAACTACCCATTCTTTTTTTTATCTCCCTGTGAAAGGGACAGGCTGTCCAGTCCACCTTTGTCCCCCAAAGCCTATTGGTCCAAAAGCTTCATTGTACTGAAGGCGTGCCCCGTGTTCTCTTCATGCCTTAGACTTCTTCCAAATATGCTCCCCCCATGTCTTGGTAATGAACCCACTCCTCCTCATCTCTCCTTCATTTTCTGCTGTGTGTTGGACATGACAGATGACTGGGGACCTCCAGAGGTTCGCTCCCCAGGGCTCCAGATAAAGGCAACTCCAACCCCAGAATGATCAATCAATCAGTTTACACCGCAGGCGCCTGATCATCCAATTAATCAATCTCTGAGCGAGCAGATGTTGCTGCTGTCCCTCCTTGGAAGAGCCCACAGTGAAGTGGTGGCTGAGGGGCTTCAGGTGTGTGGCAGTACAGGGCAACAACTCCCATTTATGCAGAAATATCTTCATAGACATACTTATCCTTGATCCTTACTTCTTAACATATTTGCCTATAAAAAGCTAGTATACTTTTGAGACGCCTAAAGATTTGCAGTACTTGCAAAAGAGATGCAAATGCATGAGTGGGTTTCCACATAAGCCTCATTAAGGCCAGCTGAATCCGATCAAACCCTCAGTCGACGGCTATCAATGGACCACGGGCTCCAAGGACACTTCATCTTAACGTGCTGTTAAACAGTCAGCAGTTATGATACCAGCATAAACATTCAAACACCCACACTCACCACCTACATCTCTTGGCCTTTGGTCCTTGTCCTGTGGAGGTCAGCCCTTTGACCTGGCAGGTTACGATGTCATTGCTCACTGTGCTAAAAGATCCCCAGGGAGACTTCTCCCTTTATTCAACCTGTGGTGCTTGTGCACATTTCCTCAGTGACTTGTACAACTCATTTTAATTAATTTAATCTATACAAGAGATCTTAGAACCTAGAAACCTAAGTTACACAGAATGATACGTGCAGTTATGATTATGACCCATATAATTTGGCACATAATTCTCAGGTGTATCCTTTGGTGTTTGCAAACAAAACCAGAGGATAGATTATTTGATTGGTTTCCTTACTGTCATGAATCCTATCAAATCTGCCTGTCCACAAATGCAGGAAATATACCCTGGCACACTTTTTGCCCGACTGATAATGTTGTGCTTGTATGCTTTTCTCCTATGTAAACCACAGTCTTGTGAAATTGTATCCATCTGCACAAGCCTGATTTATATTTCAGTCTGTATTCATAAATAAAATGATCTTAATTTATTGTTTCCATATGAAACATCCTACATGCCAAAATTAATTGGGTATCGATGATGGATGGATGGATGGATGGATGGATGGATGGATGGATGGATGGAT